CTCAGGACCGTGCCAGTGTCTGTAGAGCTCCTCAGGGGCTCCTTGCATTTCTCGTGCTTTCTCCGCCAGCGCACAGCGGGGAATCGGTGCTGCGGGTACTGAGGAGGGAGCCTGGAGGCCCCCCCAGCTCCCTCTTCCTCTTTGGCTAGAGGCCTGGGGGAAACTGACACGCCGACCCGCCGACCCGAACGCGGGGACCTGCCGCGCGGGGGCGCCCGCGCGCAGAACCGGCCGCAGACTGGACAGGGACGCACAGCGCTTCTACTGTCCCGCGGAAAAACTACCCCGCGGCGGACTTTACCGCTTCCTGGACCAAAAGCTGCGAGCCCGGCCCGCTCACCGGATGCCTGGCCCGCCGCGCCGGCGCCCCCACCCCTGGACAAAAGGGCCCGGAAGGGAACCCGGCGCGATAAGAAGGCACACCAGGTCTGAGCGGTGACGGCAGGCTGGAACCAAAGGGCGATCTGGACCAGTGGCCACCTCGGGTCTGGGCACCCGCCTCAAATACCACCTGGGCCTGGCAACGCCCAAACCAATTCGCCGCCTTGCCGGCCTTCAAACGGGCCCCAGGTCTCAGTGCGCGCTCTTTTCGTTTGAGCAAGATCCCTTGAGAGGCCGTGGCCTCCAAACCGTTTTCTTTTGAGGGGCCTCCAGGTCGTAAGCTAATGGCTCGGAGGGTAGAGGAGCGCGGGGACCCACGGGTTGGTGCTGTTCTGGCTCTCAGGGCCTGTGACCAAGGCGACCACGTGCGGCATAGGCGACGCCAGGAGTGAGGTCACGGTAGCCCAGGGTCCTGCAACCTTGCACTTGTTGGGGGCCGCAGGGGCTGCACGGAGTATTCGCGTGAGCAGAAGTTCCGCTCCGTTACTTGCCCCTAGCGTTGGGCAATGCGGAAACGCCTGGACTGTTGGGCTTTGCAAACACCCAGCTGTGCCCTCCCTCACGCGACAGACCGACAGACCCGGTGGATTTGAGGCGCAGGTGGGGACGCGGCGGGAACCCAGGCGTCTACTGTCAGGGCGCAACTGACCTGGCCCGCTTTCAACGAAACACGTCGCCAGGCCTCGGGAAGGGCCCAGGTCTGGGCGAGCGTGCGGTGGGGAGAGAAGGCACCGAGGCTGCCCGGCACCGCGCCCGGAGCTGCGGAACCACCAAGAGCCCCGACCTGATCCTGGTGGTCCAGACCCTCAGAACCCAGCGTTGGGCAATGCAGAAACCGTGCTGCGTGCGGAGCGGCGTGGAAGGCCTGAGGCGGGCGATGCCAGGGCAGGACTCTGCCTGGGATTTCTATAGCGATTATGGGCTGGAAAAATAAAAACCATTCAGGCACACAGCTCTGGTTTTCTGGTTTGGCACCGACCGCTCCTTTCTCTTCTTCCCTCAGTCACAAACAGGGATTCGTGCTGGTAAGGGTGGCCTTCCCATCCTCTGGCATTGGAAATAACCTTCCAGTCCTTCCCCCTAGATCACCCCGTTCCTTCTGAAATGGCCCCAACCCAAAGCAAAGGAAGCCCTTCGGAGCACTGCATGGCTGCTTTCTCCCTTAAGCTAAAAGTCCCATGATGGGCCAAATATGTCAGTCCTTAGCTGATCAATGACGGTCATTAATGGCCTTTGGGCTCTGTCCTACAAACTTCTGACCAATTTAGACTCAAAGGCCCCAGCCTGTCCCTGACCAAAAGTCTGGGGCAAAGGCATTCCGTCAGCGTGAGATCATGGGGCCCACCCACTACAGCTTTCCAGCAAGTCCTATCCTCCTAGGGGACTTTCAGAACAGCTTGGAGGTGAAAGGAGGCATTTCAATGAAGCCCAGATTTCCATGGGTTTACAAAAGTTTTCTCTTTCCTGGCCTTGGAACTGCTCCTGTTACTGCTCTATGAGCAAAGTAGGCTAGCCATAAGTCTCTTAGGTGTGTACTCTGAGGGGAGAAAGATAGGGATTTTGGACATTTCCATCTGGGGTAGACCCAAAGCACCTGGCACTGCAGGCCTCAGGAGCAGCTGCTCTAAGCAGCTGGAAATGGGAATGAAATTGTCTTGGGGTCAAGCTGGCGTCTACCAAATCCTCACCCAGACACCTACCAAGTGTTTCATCTTGTGACAAACACTGTCAGGGAGGAGGCCAGGCAAGGAAGGACTGAAGAGACCCTAGCTCAGCTACTAAACTTTTTAGGGCAGACATCCAACAGCCCTTGTGGTCAAGAAGTTCGGGCCCAGACCTGCTAGAACTGGTTTCCTACAAACATGAGAGGATAACTAGTGGCATAAGGACACACACCCATACATCAAGTTTTCTGTACTTACTCTGTAATGATTTTTCATATGGCACCCACACTATATTATCCAAGGTGGTAGGTTCCCCATCTGTTCTGTTCTGTCTCCACAGCTGAGTGCTGTGGAGGTTCCTGGCAAGGCTGCCTCTTGGATTTAGGGCATGGAAGTTTTTCTGTATCTTTTTCAGATTCCCTGTCTCTCCCAGTGCTACCCCCCCCCCTGAAAAGTCTGCCCTCCCAGAGTCTGAAAAAGATACAGAAAAACTTTCCTCGCTGAACAGTTCTGAGGGAAGTTCAATATTGAAGCTCCAGCTATCCCAGGAGAGGCACATTCGTGGTAAAGTCTGGGACTGAGATTGCAGAGATCACCCACTTTGTCAAGGTTAGTATTATTAAACCTACACCAGCCTAGAATCAGCAGAGATTGAGAGATCACCCAAGCCTCTTCTAATAGTGAGAAAGAATGAAGCAGAGCAAACCAGAAACTGGCCCAAAGTCTTATAGGAGGAAGTAATTGCCTGGACTCATCCACCCACGCCCAACAAGGCACTCTCCTCCAGCCCCAACCTGATCTTGCAGAGATATAAAATGACCATGGCTAGAACTGGGGCCAGCCTGCTACTGGGAGTCTTTCAAATGTGTGCCTGAGAACAGGTCTTGGAAAGAGCAGGTCACCTTTGTTGAATATTAGCAAGGTGGCTCTGAACCTCAGAGCAGTCTGGAGTAAATTTTCTTCAATATTTCCCAAGGTCCTCCTGGCTGACTCTGAAGCAAATCTTGTGTGGCAGCGCATAGGACTCTGGATAGGATGTCCTGGATGCATCAGATGAAGACTCCAAAGATACCACCTGGATATCTGCAGGAAGCTGTCCTGCCACTGGCCTGGAACCTAATTTGACAGCCCTTTGGCCTCAACACAAGGGGCAAGCACCTAGGAGCAAACTCTTAGGGAGATTCAAGGTGTTCCACTCTCATGATTGCAACACCCCCCAAAGGAACCCCAGCATGCTAGAGCACTATAGGAGGAAATTTTTGAAAATCCTGATGAACACTTAAAGGAATAAATATGTGCCTTACCCTTAGACACAAAGCAAAGCAAAAAGTTAGGGCCCTGGACTTCCATGCCAGGACTGCTAGCACAAACCCTCTAAAAGCTTAAAAGGGTGGAAACAAGAAATGTATTCTAGACTCTGATTCCATAGCCCTATACTGAGGAGGGCCAGAGATCTGTGCTGGCTGGGGACCCAGCATTGAGAATGGCACTGGGAGTTCCGGCCTGCAACAACTGAGAGTGAAGAGGGGAAACGGAAGGGGAAAGGACAAGTCACAGAACTAGTTAAGCCGGGGGCCTTTCAAAACCGTGGAAATGGAAGTAACACCCCCCTCACAAACACACCCCAGTTCTCTCATTTCCTCCACGTGCGCCTTTCTGCCAGAGAAAATGCACCATGCCCTGAAAAGAAAAAAAAAAAAAATCCCTCTTTCTAAGGCCCTCATTACCCAGCCCAGCTCGAGGTTCCCAGGCTGAAGCCGCCTGGAAGGAGTGCGAGCCGAGCCTGAGCCGAGTCCAAGCGTAGAGGCAGGACGGTGGAGGTCCCTCCACTCTCTCCTCCCTACCACCCAACCGGGAAGAGCTGGAGCCCCTGCCTTCAGCTCCCCGTAGGTAGTCTGTAGGTGTACGTCGTTCCTCGGCTCTTCGTCGCCGCTCCCGCCGGAATCAACTTCCGTATAAGCCACACGGAACTGCCTGAGGGTTTTCGGGCCGTGGGACCCGTGGGGTTAAGTCTGAGTCCCCGCCCGACGAGGAGCAGAGCGCGCTGAGTAGGGCGGTACCGGCTGAGGGGCAGCCGGCCGGGCTAGGAGAGGGAGGAAAGGCGGGATCCTCCGGGAAGTTGATTCTCAGGCGTCCGCCTGCAGCTACTGCCAAGTCCCCCACTTCTCTCCCCTGTTCCCTCCCCCTTTCCCTCGAGGACAGCTCGGGTCCGGAGTTTCTAGCTTGGGGGTGGGGCGTTTTCAGCAAGAAAAGCCAAGTTTTTGAGCGGCGCCTGGGCACGTCCAAACTCTCCATCCCAATAGTCCGCTCCTGGATAGTATCTGCCTGCGAACGGCCACCCTGGCAGGGATGCGGTGACCCAGGTGGGACCCGGGCAACTAGCAGGGCCTGGGTGAGGCTGCAGCGCCGCCCCTTGCAAAAAGCTGCCCCAAATTCCTTCCCCCTGGAAGCTCCTTCTACCCTTCTCCCTCCCCTTCCTGCCAGGAACCCCCTTAAACGGTCCTCCGCCTTTCCTTCTCTCCTCTTCCCTCCCCACCTCCCCTTTTCTTCTTGCGTCCAGTCTCCCCCAACCCTCCCGCGTCCTCCTCCTCCTCCTTGTTCTTTGGGCGTCCGCCCCGTCAATCACCGCCGCCGCCGGCCCCTGCCAGCTCCTCTCCGCCTCCCAAGCTCTTGGAGCGCCTCCGGCTCCTGTCTCGGGCCGCCCTCAGCTTTTCGCGGAGCCGGGCGATCTGTCAGCGGAGCCGGCCGGGGGGAGCCGCCCGGCCCGCCGGGGCTCGGGTTACCAGTGACTGACAGCGTCTCCATGGCGAATAATTTGACTCGACTATTGTCTGGCGCGGGCAGGCCCCGGGTCAGATAACCGGACCAATCAGGGCGCGGGCCGCCGCGCCTCATGCCCGCTTAGAATAATATTATTAAAAAAGCTGCGAGCGAGCTAGACGGGAGGGAGAGCGAGCGAGAAGCGAACTAGGGAGCGGCGGGCGGGCGCAGAGCATGCGGAGCGGCGCCCCAGGCGGCCCCCGGACTTGGGCGAAGGCGCGGGCTGGGCACGCAGGCGGCGGGGGCGCGGAGCTGCGCGGGACCCGCGGCCGGCACGAGGACGTGCTGCAGTGACTCAGGACTCGCCGGGAGCCAGCGCCGGACCAGGGGGCCCGCCCCTCCCTCCTCTCGGCCCGGACGGCTGGCGGGGAGGCGCCCATGCGGGACTGCGCGGCGCGGTGAGGGCGCGCGCGGGCGGGCGGGGGCGCAGCCGGCACCATGTCCATGCTGCCCACCTTTGGCTTCACGCAGGAGCAAGTGGCGTGCGTGTGCGAGGTGCTGCAGCAGGGCGGCAACATTGAGCGGCTGGGCCGCTTCCTGTGGTCGCTGCCCGCCTGCGAGCACCTCCACAAGAATGAAAGCGTGCTCAAGGCCAAGGCCGTGGTGGCCTTCCACCGCGGCAACTTCCGCGAGCTCTACAAGATCCTGGAGAGCCACCAGTTCTCGCCACACAACCACGCCAAGCTACAGCAGCTATGGCTCAAGGCCCACTACATCGAGGCGGAGAAGCTGCGTGGCCGGCCCTTGGGCGCTGTGGGCAAATATCGCGTGCGACGCAAGTTCCCGCTGCCGCGCTCCATCTGGGACGGCGAGGAGACCAGCTACTGCTTCAAGGAAAAGAGTCGCAGCGTGTTGCGAGAGTGGTACGCTCACAACCCCTACCCGTCACCCCGGGAGAAGCGCGAGCTGGCGGAGGCCACAGGCCTCACCACCACGCAGGTCAGCAACTGGTTCAAGAACCGGCGGCAGCGCGACCGGGCCGCTGAGGCCAAGGAAAGGTACGAGTAAGTAGAGCTTCGGCGCCGGCTTTCCCGGGCCCGAGGGAGTGGGTCGCAGGGGCGTCTGCCCAACCCCAAGCGAGGCCTAAACTGGACCCTTCAGTCCCAGCAACGGCCAGCTGCAGACTAGCATGACCTAGAGGGCGCACAGGTCTTTTCGGAGACCCGGCGGGCAGGGATTTGTCTAAAGCGGGCAAAGCCCAATGCGGGAAGTTGTCAACTAACTCCCTGGTCGTTTATGGACAAAATTGGAGAAGCAGCGAGCTTCAAGGAGAGGGCAGAACTGTGGGCCTGAACCCGCACAAAGTAGGCTCAGCAGGCAGGCCCTGGTCTTACCTGGAAAGGCCAAGGACTCTGTGTGGGCCCAGGTAGAAGCGGGAGGCGATTCCTGACTGGTTCTGTGCTTCCCTGCACTTCCCCTCAGCCTTACTCACCTCCAAACCTAAGTGTGACTAGGGGTCAGGACTGGGATTTCCGTAGTATGGACTGAAGGAAGAAGCGCCTGGGCAAGAATTTTCCTTGTCTGAATGTGGGAGTTGAGAGCCAGTCTCTTATGCTGCATGCAGAGGACTGAGGTGAGGCTCCAGAGAGCAAGTACCAGCTCTAAGAGAGAAGAGGAGAAACGCATGACCCCTTTGCTGCTTAACTGGACCCAGCAGCCCTTCCCTGGACTGCCAGGCCCTTGACCCTTTTCCTCAGATTCTACTACCCTCTTTAGGGGGTAGGTCGGTATGTCGCGAGTGAGCTAAGAGCCTCACAAGGCCTGAGAGTTGTATGTTGTCAGGGAAACCAGGACTTTCTGAAATAGTCTAGGGGTTGACCAGCAGGCCCTTGTTACTGCCTGCTTTGTAGCCCCTCAGAACTCCAAATCTGGAGAGGGGGTGGGAGAGAAAGTAATTATGGGAACAGAATCCAACCTGAAAGTAACAAATAGGACACCTGAGGTTGGTGGTATGGGGTGTGTTTAGCCCAGAGTTTGAATGATCAGGGTCAGAATTGGAGTGCTGAAGAGTAGAAATGGAGGGAACGCTGCAGGCTGAACTTTGGTATCTGGATATCTGAACTTTGGTATCTTGAGGTTGGGGTATCCACAGTGGTCAGGTTCCCCACAGCCTGTCTGTGGATTCCTCTCCCAAGATATCAGGAACAGAAGCCCCCAGCGAAAAAGAGACTCTACCCAGTATTTCAAATATCCAAGTCTGAGCAGGGACTGTCAGCAGAGGCAGGGCAAGAGGTGAGTTCTCTTTGCTGGGTCCCCCTACATCCAGACTGGCCTAAGTCCAGACTCCTTAAGAACTGCCTTCCCTGGCCCAAGCCCCTGGTGAAAGCTGGAGTTTTGGGTTATGATGGAAAAGTCTAGGTCAAGACTACCAAGTCCTCCCTTCTGTTTTCTCCCAGGGGCTACCCTCCATGCCCCAGCTTCCAGTTCCCTGGCCAAAGTTTCCACTATGCCCACCAGGGAAAGGGAACCCTCTGTTCTTGGAGCCTTGATCCTAGGCTTAGCAAGGGCAGCCCTCACAGGATGTGCCCAGGTTGGAGAAATAGGACCCTCGGGGTGAGGACCCTGTGCCCAAAAGTTTCTCTCATGCAGAGAAAAGCAGAGAGAAATGAAAGCCTATGAGATACTCACTTTCAAATTGGTCACCCAGCCTGGGATCTAGGGTACCTCATCCTCCTGGCCCCACTTCTATTTAGTAAACCTACCTGGAGATTCCTAGAGCAATCTGAAAATCGAGGTATCGTTGTTTTGTTTTGTTTTGTTTTTCCTGCCCACCCTCCAACACCAGGGTCGCCTTCTCTTGGAAGAAGGGAGGGGGGCAGATAGAGTAGGAAAGATAGTCATGAGATTGAGCGCATGGGAGGCGGGGGAAAGAGAGAGGGAGATGATATAGGAGAGAGGGACAAGCGAAATCGGGTGTTGAAAGATTGTGAAAACTGGCATAAATGAAAAGCCAAGTCCAGGCGGAGAAAACCATAGAAACCGAAAACACCCGCAAGCAGGGCGCCGGCGCTCTGTCTCCGCAGACCGGTGGCAAACTGGCTCAGGGTAAGACTGCGCTAAAAGGCCTCATTTCCCCGCTGACCCGGCTGCTTTGCTCCTGCACTTGCAGGGAGAACAGCGAGAACTCCAATTCCAACAGCCACAATCCACTGGCTTCTTCTCTTAATGGAAGCGGCAAGTCGGTGCTAGGCAGCTCCGAAGACGAGAAGACGCCGTCGGGGACGCCAGACCACTCGTCGTCCAGCCCCGCGCTGCTACTCAGTCCGCCGCCACCACCCGGGCTGCCGTCCCTGCACAGCCTGGGCCACCCTCCCGGACCCAGCGCAGTGCCGGTGCCTGTGCCGGGCGGAGGCGGGGCGGACCCACTGCAGCATCATCACGGCCTCCAGGACTCCATCCTCAACCCCATGTCGGCCAACCTCGTGGACCTGGGCTCCTAGAGCTCTGCTGCCTCTTCGCGTTTGCCTTCCAGGCTTGGCGCTGGGACCCGAGAGAAGGCGGTGCCCGGAGGGCCCCAGCGCCGGCGGCCCCTCCAGGTACTGAAAGACCCGCGCGCAAGCCCGGCAGAACCGCCGGCAGGGACAAAGCGGATGGCACTCTGGGTCCTTATTTGGAATTTATTTTCAACAAGCCGCTTTTGAGATCCTTTGGAGGCCGGGGACCAGGTCTTGAACCAGGGAAGGGAATAAATTATATACACCATTCTCATTCTTTCTCTCCGTCTTTTCTTTCTTCTCTCCTCTTGCCTGCACCCCTTTCCTCCTCTTCCTTTCCTTTTCTTTTCTCCTTTCTCCGTTTTCTGTCCTTTCGCCTCTCCTCTTCTTGCTTTTCCTTGTTTTCTTCTAGATTTCTAGCTCTTTTTTCTTTGTCTCTCCTGATGGTGTCTTGCACTCTGCCTTGGCCCTCTGGGTCTGTACCCTCTCTCTCCTCCGGTCTGGCCATTGATTTCCCTCTCCGCACTTTCCGGGAGTGGGGAGGAGGAAAAGGCCCTTAAAGTCTTGGATCCTAGGTCATCTCCAAAGGCTTTCCGGAGAGGAAACCCAGCTGCAGGTGTCAGCTTTTCGCCTAGTAACTTAAGTGAAAGGCATCCCAGAAGCTCTTTTATTCTCCCCTTGATCTCGCTGTCGCTCTCGCTGTCACTCTTGCTGTCTCCTGCTCTCTCTGCGAGGCTCCTCCACGATGCTGTCTCCTCTTTCCCCGGACTGTGGCCGCAGCACTCCCGGCAGAGCGTGCCTCCCGAGCCGCGGTCTTGCCGTTTCCCTGTTACGCCCTCCTGTGAATGTTCTTCGGAATATATTTCTGCTTTTATTTTATAATAAAATTAGAAATCAAATATATATGAATATATGCCATGAAGCCCGAGGGCCAGGAGTGCAACAGTGTCTGATTTCCCCACAGGGATACTCCGGTGAGTCCCAGAAACCCGTGAGTCCCTGAAACCCGGAGGCACCCTCCCAGACAAAGTGTATCACTTGCTAGGTGAAGGGCCTGAAAACTTGAAAGTTCCTCTCCCAAAGCCCTCGATCCCTTTTTTTTTTTTGTTCCAGAAAATTCCCTGCAGAAGTGGGCAGGGTGCGGGCTCCTTCTCCCCATACCACTGCGCAGAGCACACCCCCCCCCTCTTTTTCCACCTGGGAAGGGGAGGTGGGATGTGCCCGCCGGGTACGTGCATTTAGAAATGCGGAGGCTGGGGAACCAATCAGACCGCGGAAGTATCCTGTCTAGCTGACACCTTGGAGTAGTCTCAGCCCCTGGAGCTAGGAACAATACTCGGGGAGATATGCCAGCCCCCTGCCCCCTCCCGCCTGGCGGCGGGGTGGGGGGCGGCTGCCGAGACCTAGGCTCCAGGTACGCGTGTAGCCTGTAGGACAGCGCGGCAGAGCGAAGGTCTCTGAGCTCACGTACACGCACCCACCCAATGCTTCAGTCGGTTTGCTCTGGAGGTGAACAGGGGAGAAAGTCAGAGGCGACCGAGCGGCTGGGCCTGCAGGGCGCGTGTTGTAAATGAAGAGTAAGTGGGCACCTGGGTTCGGAAGGTCAGGCCAAGGGGACGCCGTGCATCACAGGTGCTTCTGTGGCTGTGAATTAATCTTCAGCGCTGACTCTCCTCTGTGGTTCTAGCCCCCTTTAACTGGCTGGGCCAAGCCGGTCCCGGCAGATTCGCAGCAGGAAGAACTCTGCGAGAAGGAAGTTGGGGCTTTTGGGTGTTGGTTTTCAGTGGTTATGGGTACTGAAAACCCTTCTCCAAAACCAGGACACCCTAGTCCCTGAACTGGAAGGGATGGAGGGGAAGAGGCATTTATTGAGCTGAGATCCCAGAGCACATGGACCTCTTAGGACTACCTTTCTGGCAAAATCAGCGCTTTGGGGTAAAATCGGGGCAAAATCAGAAGACCTTTTTCCTCGGACTTTCTAAGTTATCAAGAATTCTCTCGCGGACTCAGGCTTCTGAGTGGCCTAACTAGGGAAGCTACTATCTGTGCAGGTCTGGAATTCAAGGAGATAACCTACCAGCTTGGACTGCTCAACGATGCTGGAGTCTCCGCCTTCCTGGGCACCCAGCGCTTGTCCACTTCTACACCCCGAGAGAAATTCCAGCCAGGGTACTTCTCTCTGCCTCTCCTGGAGGCTCTACTCTCAAGAAACAACTCAGGTCCTCTCGGGTACTGTCTGTGCTTGTGGGACCTGGGCGACCTAACTTCCACAGCCTAGAAGGATGAAGGGCCAGCCATTGCCTGAAGGTCCAAAAACCCAATCCATGCCTAAAACCGCTTCTCAAAACGACCTCTCCTCAACCCAAAGGGCCCCTTGCTATGTCAGAGTCCACTCTTTTCCATATTCACTTCTGGAAATGAGACAAACACATATTGTATATGTGTATCACCCCTACCCACTCCCTGTTTTTCAGTCCCACACTCACAGGAAAACAGACTATATTAACGTTCATATAAACATGAACATACACATTTAATATTAATTTGATTCAGGCAGTTATGTTCCACGGCTGTTGGATGGCAACAAAACTTTTCACCCTCTCATCCATAGTGACCACCCAGAGAAATAGACTGTCACACACACTCATACCTGCATGCATCAAATATAGAACCAAGCACACAGAGACCCTCCTACCATTTGCAGACACAGCGGGTCCTCAAGCACTCTCTCTTGGATATATATGCAAGAGAATGCAGAAATAGACCCCCTCCAGCCTGCGTGTGCTCTCTCACACATGCCGACACACATATTAGGCTTCTTTCCAAGAAGCACGCAAATCCACAACCCACACTGTTGCCCCTGCCAGCAGCCACTTTCTGCCCACCGACCTGTGGGGACCAGGGCCCAGTCTTTCAGAAGGACTTAGTGTAAAGGCCTGGATACCTAACTGCTCCGTCCTAGCGAAAGAGATGGTCCCAGCCCAAGGCTGCAGCTGATTAGGGATCCCACCCAAGACACTCTAGCGTCTGCCCAGGTGGGATCCTTGGAGTCTGCCCAGAGTCCTAATGCGCCAGTAGAGGGCGGGGTGCCTGTTCCAAAGGCCGCATAGCAGGGGCAACTTGCTGCAATTTCCCGCTTCTCCTCGTTGGACAGCTGAAGGGGAAAATATTTATTTAAACGGGGTGGGGGAAATTATGCAGAAGTTCTGAAAACCCCGAGTAGCTAGCACCAGTTGCACACCAACTGGAGCACTCCAACTGGGCAGGTCTTGCCTGGAGAATATAGACACTCCTATTGGCATCTAGGAAACTGGAATCTCAAAGTCCTGTTACCCCTCTCCCAACCACTGCCCTCTGCCTGAGGACAGCTCTGAAGCCACAGGTTTTGTCCTGAGCCCAAAGGGATGCAGCCACTAGAAGTGGAGAGCCTCCCTTTCTGCTCCCCTCATCACATGCGCTCCCAAACACCCTTCATTTGTTCCTTACCAGGTCCCATGCTCACAAAGCCCTCAAGGGCGAAACCAAATAAACTAAACACAGGCTCAGGGGCAGCAGGCTGGACTGAAGAAAGGAAATCTCCTTGGGGGCAGAAAAGTTCCGAAATATAGGAGACGGGAGGGGCTCCCAGTCATTGTCCTGCGCACCCTCACCCTGTAACCCTGATGAGGACCTTGGTCAGGACACTGGCTTCCCTACTTCTTGCATCTTATGTGGTGGCCCCACTGGGGAGCAGGTAGTAAGGCAAGGATTAAACAGAGCCAGGGAGATCTGGGGAGAGAACATGGCTGCAGGTACTCAGTCCTTGGTTATTGCCAGTACTTGTCGGAAACACAATTCCGGTCTGTAAGAAAAGGAAAGGCCAGCTGAGTGACAGGATGCAGGAAATTCGGCCCTCACAGCGCCACCTGCTCTATCTCCTGTGGGATGCCTCAGGAACTCTGGAAGAGTTTGTGTTGAGGGACAGATGAGGAAGAACCGAGGTGGAATTGGACTCAGACTGGCGCTTTCCCTTTTTCGTGTTTCAGTCTCTGAGCACCCAGAGTTGCCTAGGGGATGCTGGAGGGGGACCACCACACAGTGCCTGCGGATGTACTGAAAGATGTGAGAAGGCATGAGAGACACTGTGTGCCGGCAGCGTGGAAAAAACCGCGCTGCTGTATGTAGGTAGGGTCGTGGGCGCCTTGAGAGAGGGGCTGAGAACACAGGCGTGCGCAAGAGCCGGGGAGTGCCCAGGGTGTCTGCGGGAGCCAGGAAAATCAGTGGACACCAGAGCCCTCCCCCTCTAAGTAGATGCCCTGGGACTGCAGGAGTGCCTGATCCCAACCTGGCGCGAGTTAGTCCTTGTTTCTGGAGCCATTTTTGGCCATGAGCAGAGGGAAAAACTCCGGGTCGCTGGGGGTCACAGCCGGAGGGGGGCGAACCTGGACCGGAAAGACCCGGCATCCTGGTGTCAGGGTCAAGGCCCTCCATGCCTCATCTCAGGAGACGGTTTTCAAAACTTCCAGGCGATCTGTGCGGCGGGATCTCAGAAATGGTTTTTCCGGGGTGGCATTTGGAATCCAGAATGCAGAAGGGCCGCGACTACTATTTGCCTCCTGCGGCCGTCTCGCAATGGAGAATCTCAGTAGCTCCAAAGAAGATCGGCCTCACGAGGCCCAGAAGGTGCCCCTAGTTGCCCCCAAAACTCCCTTTCTAGGAGAGATCCACAATCCAGAAAGGCCGGCACAAGGGCTGACATATGGAGGGTTGGGGGCGCTTCTTTAGGACACCTGCAACCTTTATCCCTCTCAAGGCTAACTCAGGAACCATCAAAGGCCCTCTCCAATGCAGAGCGCCAAGATCCTTTATTCCGGGAGTAGTGTGTCCAGGTCCCTGCCGCTGCGCCCGGCTGGGGAAGGATACAGGAGAAGCAGGCCTCTGAGGTCCCGCCGGCACTCGGCGAGACCACGGCGCTCTTCTGCCCAGTGAGATTGGCTTTGGGGCTGTGGTCCTGTGCCTCTGCCCCGGTACTGCTGAGGCTAACGTGACTCCAGGATCTGAAGGCAGGACAGTGGAAGACCCAGGGATGGGTAGCCCTGGTCTCTCCGCCCCTTTAAGCAGACGGTGCGTAGGACAGAGGCTTGGGAGCCAGGACGTTTGGGACGCTCCATGGGCACAACTCTGTAATCCCAAGTAGCTATCGTGGCGCGGAGGACCTATCCCGGCACCGAAGCTCACACCTAAGATTCTGGGGGGCTCCCTGGAAGAACGCTTTCCCCGCTACACTCTGGGAGTTGTAACTGAGCCACCTGAGAGTCTACAAAGAGTGGCGGGTCTATCACACTGAGAGCGGCAACCGGCGGGAACTTGCGGAGCTGCCCGCCCTCCATTCCCTTCTCCCAAGGTTTTTCCACCGGCCAGGGTCGGTCCGCCCAGTCGGGCC